CCTACTCCCTCGTGTGTCTCGTACCTCCACACTATATATATATATATACATATTTATGATTATTTCGCCCTAGATGATGAATCTACAAAAAAAAAGAAAATCATCTAAAATAAATTTTAGTGGGGAGCTGGATATGTACATATAAGTGAGGGACCACATATACTGTGTCGGCCGACTCATAGAAACCCATCCTCATAGTTTTGGATACTTGAAACTATTTTCCTTATTGATTTAATTGAAACTATTTTCCTTATTGATTTAATAAGAAGAAAAAGGAAATATATGCTGCAAAGCTAATAAATAATTTGCATGTGTCCATAAATGCGTATGCTCACAGTTCACCACAGTTGGATCTATTCCTGGGAAGCCGGCCCACTAATATATTATTTGTACCCAGAATGAGTAAGCATTGATGCTTGACGCTTTGAACATTTTCGAACGAATAGAAATGATGAAATATTTATTACTCAGTGTTTGAAAAATGGCCGGTTGGAACCCCAGAATTCTAACCTAAATTCTCCGAATGGTCATTTAGAAGTAGTGTTTCAAAACCCGGCAATTTCCACCCAGACATCGATTCGAATGGGAATAGGCAGGGACTGAACCAATTATGGAAAAGTGTGGTTTGTATAAAGCTGATGATCTAAACAATCAAAGTAAGGCACAGTTTCAAATGGTGTCGAAAGATGCCGTTTTAGCACTGAAAATTTTTATGATGATCTAAAAATTTAGATTCATCTCTAATTATAAAATTTCAAGCTTTAAAAATAGTGTAGATGAAGCAAAACTATGAACATTTGAGAATCTTGAAAGTTGACGGTCTAGATGATGCCTCACAAGATGTACTATTTTTAATATTTAAAGTCCTTTCTTTTTATGTCTATGTATTTGAAGGTCGAGATGATCGGATTTAAGGGTTTTAGAGCATCAAAACTACTTTTACTGAATACTTGAGATACACGTTCATTTGATTGTTTTGGGCCTCAACCTTATATAAACTTTTTACGACATATATATATATATATATATATATGTAGTAAAAAAGTTTATATAAGGTTGCAACCTTAAACTGTGGAACTACAAATGCACCTCAAAAATCCATCGAAAAATATTATTTTAATGTTGAAGCACCCTTTAATTGAGCATCTCGACATCGAGATGTATGATTATGAAAGAAAAAGTGATTTTGAGTCCTAGAAATAGTGTCTTACAACACATTATCTAGACCATCCATTTTTAAAATTTTCATATGTTTATAGATTTACTTGATTTTAACCATTTTTAGAGTTTCAAATTTTATAATTAGGTATGAAAATAGATTTTGAGATAATGCTAATAATATTTTACATCAAAATGATATATTATGATAAAATTAGAAGGTGCACCTTAATTGGATTGTTTAAGGTTGCAACCTTATGGAAACCACACCCTCTATATATATAGAAAAAACCTAAAAAACGCCTATAGGTGAAGTGCTACAGTGTTTTACCACCGCCATGGACTTGTTACGTCCGTGGCGCTTTATAAAACAGACCCACAACAACGGTTACGTGTGATTTTTTGACCGCCACGTACCTAGTATGTCCGTAACAGTACCACCACGGATATGCTAGCTCCATGGCGGTTGAAAAACGCACGCCATTCGATTTTTTCGGAGAGCAATAGGCCTATGGGCGAGATCACTGTAGCATCTCGCTCATAAGCATTGCCTAGACTAGTATCGATCCAGACTCAACCTAGATTGCTCATCCATAATCCACCATGGATCTACGGGTGAACAATCTGCTCCATTGATCTGGGTTTTGAAACACTAATTGGAGCCCCACAATTTGAAACATTATTGCCCGAATCGAACAAGAACTCGTGGGGCCCTTAGAATAACCTGGTTTCCCCAGTTTTTTCCTTCCTTTCTTTTTTTGCTTTTTTTTTGGTATATGTAGACCGGTCAGATTCAACCATTGCTCAATTTGATCCAATTCGAACCAGGTAACTTAGAGATCCAGAGTCTGATTCTGATTTTTTAAGTACTAAATAACATCCATGCTGGGACAAAAGAAAAGTTAAAGCATCCTACTGATGAGCATAGTTTATACTTTTTTATGAAATAGTATATTGCCTATCCACATACTAGGCTTTTAAATTGCTGTGGTGATAACCAAGCCACTCATTCATTGATTGTTCCTTTAAATAATACTTTGGCTGTTCAAGTCTTGGGTAGGATCTTAACGTCCTCTACTTATTAACAAAGCAATTGATCAACAGATTAGCAAATATTTATGGTGTTACATCAAATGATTACAAGAATGGCCCTATGGAACGATTTTATTGATAATAACAATTAGTTATAACTTTAATCAATCAAACAACTTATATGGACCATCCATTTTGCTAGTTTTAATATGGATAAGCTATGGCCGAAAAATCCTTTTCGAAAAATATCGATCTCTAATTGATGAATTGTTTAATGACCCATTGATAAGGCTGATTTCCACATTCCCAAGTTTAATTTCAAAATGGGTGGTTGTAAGAGTGTCATTAAATAGACACAAAGTTCCAAAAAAAAAAATTCTTGGACTTTGCGATTGACTTCAAGCCATCTAATTTTATATCTAATAAGTGAGAATAATTGTGACATCTATGTACAAAAGATAAACAGTCTCTTCGTAGACAATCCCGATTACGAAATGCTATATTTTAAAAACTTGATTTCCAAAACCCAAAGTTGCGAGTTTCCATATTACTAAATCATCATTGGTTTTGGGCTTTAAAGTCAATTTCGCTAAAACTTCAGTTTTCATCAATTAGCTGCAGTTATGAATCGTAGAGTAGAATCCTTTCCAATTAAATGCCCATAATCTAATGACGTTTGGGATGAAGAGAGCTAATGTGAATTTGGATCTTTGGAAGGCAAAGAATTTATTTCTTGAGTTCAAGTCTTATCTCTCTAATCTACCCATTTATTAAATATTGTTGTTAGTAATGCCTTCACCCATTTATCAAATATTGTTGTTAGTAATGCCTTCAGCTGTTATTAAGAAGATTGAGCACCTGATGAGGAATTTCGTATGGGTATCTAATGAAAATCAGAAGAAGATCCCTCTTGTGTGTTGGGATAGGGTTCGTACACCAAAAAAAAAGAAGGGGAATTGGGTATTCGAAAAGTCAAGTTACTTAACCAAACTTTAATATTTAAATGGTGGTGGCGCTCTTTGAACTAGGAAAATCATTTACAAAGTATGGCTGAGGACCCTTTAAACCAGTTTATTGTTACGGGTAGAAGGGGCTCAGGGCAGTCCCATGTTTGAAAATTTATTCTTTTAATGTGATCATTCATGGTTCGACATACAAGATAGTATATGAGGAGGGATGATAACAGTGCATCAAAAGTAGGCTTCCGAGGTTGCATTCAAAATTTTATTTCTAGATTTGTTTCACAGATACGCTCATCCAATGGCGAAGGTAAGGGAGGTGGGAGAAGTAAATGGGAATTCTGTTTTTTGAAATATCGTCTGTGCCTATAATTGAATACCACATATGGTTTTTAATCAGTCGTATAAATTGGTGAGATTGCCTAAAAATGTGCAAATCTTAACCTAATCTAATGATGAGATTATAACAGACGAAGAGCCAGATGGTATTTTTTGAAGTCTGCATATTCGTTGATGTTTCATGAACGTATTAGAAGGAATCAGTAGGAGTTAAGGGATATTTGGAAATGGAGGATACCACACAAGGTGCAGGCTTTCATTTGGGTGATGCTACAAGATAGAATTCCATCTATTGACAACCCTAGAAAAAGAGGGAAAATTTTAGTCAATATGTCTCTTTCATTAGAAATATGAAAAAAAAATGTTACCTATTTGTTTCTTCATTCTCCTTTACCTTATCATATTTGGTGTTCGGCTATGTAAAGAATTGGTGTTTTGATGATTCTAGATTCTCAAAATAACATTTTAAATCATCTCAAGCTTAGTGGATTTCCCAAAGTTGGTAGTATGATTTGGGACATTTACAAAGGAGCTACAATTTGGGAACCATGGTTGGAAAGAAATAGGACTTTTGATGGAGTGTCGCTGGAAACTCAACGGATTAAAGATAGAATTTTGCATACAGTATGGAGTTAGTTTAGTGTCACTAAAGAAGGATATGGGACATCAAAACTTGACGTTGTGATCAATATGACAAATCTCATCTCATTGCTATTCATAAAGGTTAGACGCATATGGCAGCTGAAATTGAATTTTGATGGGTCCTTTTTGGATAACCCAGGGTTGGCAAGAGTGGGTGGAGTCCGTAGAGATAGTGATGGTTCAGCCATCTTCTGTTATGCTGGTTGATGTGGTGTTGTATATGCGAATCCTGCAGAAATTGCTGCTCTTATGCAAGGGGTTTTAATTTGGAAGGAGAAGTGCCTTGGTGTGGTTATTGAAGGTGATTCCCTCAATGTTATTAATTGATATAAAGAGATGTCAAGACCACCCTAGCATCCTCGATCCTTGTGGTTGAAGGTTATGGACCTACCAACGTCTTAGCTAGTAAGCTTGCATTATGCATAGAGAAGCGAATGGAACTATTGATGGTCTGGCAAAGAGAGGTGCATTGTTGGATTCTTTTGATTGTGTCATCTGTATATTTTGAGAAATGTTTTGTACTTCCTATTTAGTTAATGAAAAGTAAGTACTCTTGTCAAACAAAAACAATTTTTCAAAAAGATAAAACTTGTATGTAAGACTACAAATAAATTTATCTCAGGTAAGTTATATAGAACCAAACAACAGATAATTCATTATCAAGATTAATTTTATTGAAACAACGGATTATCAATAATAACGAGTACATTCAAACAAGCCCCAAGTATAATTTCAAATTGTCATTCTAACACACTGTAGTATCGAGAGCGGTCAAGAGACACCGCTTGAGTCCTGGGCACAAATTCTCAAGAAAATTTCTCATTCTAATAAACCCCAAGAGTGTCCAAAAAATAATACACTCACAATATAAATTATAGCTATAATACTGATAAATTATTTAGATAAATCATAGTGTTGGAAACACCAATAAAAATAAAAAAATCAGTGTTGGCAACATCCAATCACTGGGGATGATATCTCATTGAATGTGTAAACCCCCACAACTGCAAATATCCATCAACAAGAACACAAAGTTCAGTGAAACTACAAAACTGCATTGATTTTCATAATATTGTCAGGAGTTTTAAAAATAAAAAATTCATAAATAGTGAAAAAAAAGAAATTACTCTTATAAAAAAAGGCCTTTATGTATCAGACATCGTAATATATATAAGCAAATTGAGAAAAAGGGACTAAAAGAATAAGAAGATCATGATTGCTCAAAACTGAAAGCTGTACCTCAACATGTTTCAGCTCGAATTCCTTGCTACGTGCTAAGCATAAGTTCCCAAATGTCTCGCAAGGTCCACTGGTACCTTGCAACCTTTTTGCAAGAGCTGGTAAAAGTTAGTTTCTGTTTTTATTTTCCTTTCTATTTTAAGTGTAAGCCTGCTGAAGCTAGTGAACAAGACATTGTCATCTCCTAAACTAAATGTAATGACATTCAAAAAGGCACTATTCCTTGGTCGCATGCTTCACCTTAAGTATTATACTAGAAACTACAACTCTTTCCTTTTCCATATCTAATGTAACATTTTTTCATAAAATACTGCGGAGAAATTTATCAATATCACAACAAAGCAGAAACATCGGGCTTGGGGTCAAGACAGTAGAGGCTGGGTTTTCATAGCACAACGTCTCAAGTTCATTTCTATGTAACATTGTCAGCAAAAAAAAAAAACTTTGTTTATAAATCAAGACAAAAGAAGGGACTCACAAATCTCCATCCAAACGCAGTGCAAAGTTGCCTCCACCTCCAAATGCCAACAAGTCGTTCATGCACATGTAGTAATATCTGTTTGCACCTAATCAAGCACACATCATCACTGGTGCCATCTAAAATTGCAAAGCAACATTAATAGTTGTTTCTCTCTTTACATTCTTATGTGGAGAGAGAGAGAGAGATGAAGTAGAATATCAAATCTAATCCATCAAGTCAAATTTAATACATACACATTGGAAACCCAGAAAAAATAACTTGCTCACAACCGTGTGGGGAAAATCATGTATTTCAACAAAGAACCAAATTGGTAAATTGACTACTTTGCTTGATTTAATATTTAAATATCTTTTGACTCAAAACAACAAGTGCATTTAAATTTTATGGATCGATGTGTGTATAACACTAGTGGATTCATTAGAGGGCCTTATTGGTATGAAGGGAGATTATGGAATTGAACCACCTTGAAAATATAACCTTTTGTTTTGTCTGATGGGCAACCACAGCATCAATTAATAAAAGATCCATGCATAAGTTGATGAGAGAAAATTTCATATTTGATGTCAGAAAAGTTGATTCACCATCAAACGAGAGATGATGATGAGGGAAAATATGATCCACCATCAAATCAGAGAGTAAGCCAGCATTTTCAGTGAGGGAACAGACAATAACCCCACTACTCCAAATATATCATTACCATCTTTCCCCAAACATAAAATTCCCTATCAAGGTGGCCTTATCCTGGTGGCCTTACCCTCGATAAATTGATCCTATGACTGTATCATAAGGTTCATCAATTGCCTGGTTAAAGAAAGTGTAGTGCATAGAGTTATGTGAAAAAATATGTTGATAGAAAAATCATTGGATTCAAGATAGGGTCATTAGCTATGCTGCAAGTGTTGGATCTATAGTAAGTGATCTTGTTCTTTGGATTTGGTTCACAAGGTGATCTACGGTAAGCATTTAGACCTTCAGTCTTTCTTGAAAATTATTTAAGTAACTTCAGTATCAACCCATTTCACCATAGTTTTGATATGGGAAGTAGAATATCAAATAAAATGCATTAAGAGAGAGGAAGTGTAGGGATTTAGTCTATATTAAATGCATTAAGCATGAGGATTAGAAGGTCTTGGTGAAGGATGACATGGTCAACGAAATGTGGAGAATTTATTTTCAAAAATTGTTAAATGACGAATACAATGGGAATGCAGCGCTAGGAGGAACTTTAGGCATAAAGGAGGACAGAAGTTCGCAGGATTAGGATATCTGAAGTGAATGAAACCTTGAGGAGGATGAAGTAAGGAAAGGCTTTAAGACCAAATGGCATCCCTATAGAAGTTTGGAAGTGCATGGGAAAATTGGCATACGCTGGTTGACCAAGTTATTCAACAAAGTGTTGAGAACAAAGAAAATGCCAGACAAACGAAAGAAAAGTATTGTGGTACTTATTTACAAGAGCAAATGAGACATACAAAATTGTGCAAGCTACTGAGGGATCAAACTTATGAGCCATACTATAAAACTATGGGAGAGAGTGATTGAGCAGCGAATAAGGCATGAAACGAGTCTATCAAAAAATCAATTCAATTTATGCCAATGCGGTCAACAATTGAGGCTTTTTACCTACTCATACAACTAATTAAGAAGTTTAAGGAGAAGGGAAAAGACCTCCACATGGTCTTTATTGATTTAGAGAAAGCTTACGATAAGGTACCTAGAGATTTAATTTGGTGGGTGTTGGAAAAGAAAGAAGTTTTCAGATGCTATATTGACATGATGAAAGATATGTACAAGGGAGTGCTAACTAGTGTGTGCAGAAAATTAGTGAAGAGACAAGTGAGTTTTTAGTGACAATAGGCGTACATCAGGGATCAGCGTTGAACCCATATCTCTTTATTTTAGTTATGGATGAGTTAGCTAGGCATCTACAAAATGCAGTAACGTTGTATATGTTGTTCGTGGATGACATAGTTCTGATCGATGATCCTAAAAGTGGCATCAATGCAAAGTTTGAACTTTAGAGGGATGCTCTAAAATCTAAAGGTTTTACGATTAGCCGGGACTAAGACAGAATATATGAATGCAAGTTTAGTAACAATAGGAGTAGAAACCAGCAAGTATAGAACTCATAATGAATATATTCGAGAGAACTTCGGGGTGGCTCTAATAAGAAACAAGATGAGAAAAAGTAGACTTAGGTGGGTTGATCATGTGCAGCACAGACTCAATACAACACCGATTAGGAAGTATGATTTGGTTCAAGTGGAAGGCTCTAAAAACTCATAGGGAAGGCCCAAAAGGATATGGATGAAAGTAGTTAAAAAAAATAAGGGGACTTATGGTCTCACTGAGGGTATGGCCCTTGATAGAACATAATGGTAGAACAAGATTTATGTAGCCGACCCCAACTAATTGGGAAAAAGCTCTGATAATAATGATGATGACGATGATGTAGAATATCAAATCCAATCCATCAAGTCAAATTTAATACACACACATTGGAAACCAAGAAAAAGTAATACATACACAATAGCAAGTGTGGGGAAAATCTTACATTTCAACAAAGAACCAAATTAAAAAGTTTACTCTTTTTCTAGATATAAGTACTACAAGCAGAAGCATTATTTTTTTACTCAATCAGTAAGTGCATCTATATATTATGGATCAAAAGTTGTGAACTTGTGATTGATGCGTGTAGACACTAGCTGATTAATTAGAGATGGCTGGATTATGCAATTGAACAACTTGAAAATATTGCCTTTTCTTTTTGTCTAATAGGCAACCACGATATCAATTGATGAAAGATTTATATACGAGTTGACGAGGGAAAATCCATAATTTGATGTCAGAAAATTGATTCACTATCCAATGAGAGATGATGATGAGGGAAAATATGATCCACCATCATATCAGAGATTTTGTATGCACCAAGTTGTACTCTAGGAGTAAGCTAGCATTTCAGTGAGAGAGAACAGACCATCACCCTGCTGCTCTAAATAGCATTTCCATCATTCCCCAAATATAAAAACCCAATCAAAGTAGCATCCTAGATATATATAATTTTCAAATTGTACTTATAAGATTGAGGTTCCTATGAATGTGTCATAAGGTTCATCAATTGCCTGATTAAGTAGTGCATAGAGTTATGTGAGCAATATGTTAATAGAAAATCATTGGATTCAGGATAAGGTCACTATCTAGTAAAATAATTCCATGCTTGGGATTTGGTTTTACAAGGTAATCTAGGGTGTGAGACTTTTAAAAGTTCATTCTTTCATGAAGATTATATATATATATATATATATATATATATATATATATATACTACTTACACTACCTAGTAGA